ACATTTCATTTAAAATCTTTAATCGAGTAATTACTGCGTAATTACAGTTAATCGCACGCTTTTGGGTGGTCACTGAACAGTGGGTGTTAATCACGGTTAGCTTAATTTTTTCTTTTTGTGAATTTTCTTAATTGGAGAATAATGAACGATAATCGAGAGGTATTATGCTAATTATGGTCGGTGTAAATGACCCCATGTCTGTTATTACGGGATCCAGGAAAAATCTGGTCCAGGTCGGATTCTATGTGGATTTCTCAGAGGGCAGCGCGTGACCTTTCGCAACCCTTAACTCGTATCTCCCGTATCGGCGTCACTTGGGACGTGCGCGCGCGCATGCGCGTATGTGCACCTACGTGGCATCGCTCAGTTACGGCTCGACCGTGCCAAGGTTGGGAACCTTATCTAAGCACGGGGTGTTTGACCCAACTGGGAAAACACATTGGCACTCCCGGCGCTCCGTGTCCTTCCACTCGGCGCCGCTTGGCGGCGCTTCCATCGGCGGAACTGCACGTTCCGCGGTACTAAATTGTCCAGAAAGTTTTTGAGTTTTTCCAGTTTAAAAATTGACGCTTCCTTCTCAAATAAAGTTGTTTCTCCTTTATGTCACGTGCCATTTTAAATCACAAACGTCGCTACACATTTTGGCAATAATGTAACGTTTTAAATTTAACAATTACTGGCTACGAAGTATTGGGAACTCTGCCTTCGTTAACGGTTCCTGGGTATTGTGACCCCACAGCCGCCATTTTGAATTCGAACAGGAATATCTCCCGAATTTGTTTAATTTTCATCCTTAAGTAAATAGTCTAAGTAAAAATTAATACTTAATACAGAATTGCTATTAGAATGTAGAGCAATGTTTGTGCTTTGAAATGGTACATGGCATGGGCATAACGGACAAATAAGTTTGAAAATAGAGCATCGATTCTTAAACAGCAAAGAGCGAAATAAATTTCTGGATTATTCTGAGATGCTATTTGCGCAAATTATTGATGACGATAAACGTTTACAAGGCAGGGGAATCACGACTAACTTTCAAAACTTGGTGAGACGTGGTACGCAGTAGCATAAATCACGAAACGATAAGTGGATCGTAAATGAAGACTGTCACCTACCTTTGTCTCAGGTTCGCTCGAAATATTTTGAAATTTGAGGAAATTCTAATGTTAGACTTTTGCGAAGCCTTCTTGGAAGGCACTTTTCTAAATTGCTCATTCGCCGTGATTATATCGTGGGATGTGTTATTGCCTCGCGAAAATTGCCGAAACAGGTCGATTTATCAATTCTGGTCGCGTAAGCCGGCCACGGTCAGCGAAATTCAATTTTTGAGCCGTGCAATTTATTGCCCGCCATTATTTAACCCCCCCTACGAGTCTACCCCGACGTGGATGATTTATGAGGATCGCTTCGGCGAATCCGCGTCTCTGGTGATTTTTCCTCGTCTGGAAGCCCGCCGCCCTGTTGGCGCGTTTCCGTTGCGGCGACGCGACTACGTGGTTCCGGAGGAACTTCCGGGTCTCGGCCGCAGCGGTCGGTATCGGCGGTATTTTTCCGACGTGTTTACAAAGCACGAACTTGCTCGTACCTATTTACCATATATATGCTTCGGAAGAAGTTGGACGACGATTAGAAGTCGTAAATTCGATCCGAGAGCGATAACAACGCCATCTGTACGCAGAGGGCGATACTACGGCTCATTACGCGCGAATATTCAAACAGTTTCTTTGCCTCGCGATCTAGAATATTAAAAGATGTTACGTTTCATGCACTAATAAGTGAATAACTACGTCATGTTTTGCGCATTCCATACCAGTGGAATTATTATTGCAAGAAAAGGTGCGGCATTCGGTACGGTAGATGTATCAATCGTCATTAGCGATTTATGATGGTTAGAAACGTCAGTTTTATAGGTGCGCTCGCTGTGTAGGGAAGATTACGGCACTAAATTCTTCGGGATATGAAAAATTCATCTAAACGTTAAATACCTGTCCAATGATTTTTACTTCTCGCTTATGCGGGAATGTATATGCTTAAATTTCGAAATATCAGGATTAAGCGAAAGAGAGATATCGGAATTGCATACTAAATTGCATACCTGATGCTAAAGTAGTCTCTAAGAGGGCAGCATCGTTTTTCTGTCATCGTAGACTAAATTAAAGACGTGAGTTTGCCGAGTAGACACCCTGTGTGATCCTTCGCGAATGTCCCTCTGAAATGGAAATTCCATTATTCCAGCTCTACTTCAACTATAAAAACACCTTAGTGTGCAAAAACTAGTTCAAATGCATAACCTCATCAGTTATAATCTCTTCTCGTATAACGCGCCAAATAACAAGACACATTATCCGCGTTATACGAGAAAAATGTCCATACAGCACGATTTACTATAACGCGAATTCATACAGCGTGTAACGTATTAACCGCGTTATACGGGAGTCAACACTTAATGAAACGTATATAAAGATCAGCGAAAGTATAAAAAACAGCTTCAATCGGAAATAGGGCCAGAAATTCCTCGGTCGTTTCCGAGAGGTGCGAGAGACATTGCTCGGCGTTCCATTATCGCGCGAGGCGCCATCTCTGTGTCGCCGGTCGCGGCTCGTCGCGGCGGACGATTCCGGGAATTTTTCCGAAGTGGGCCAGGAATAGGGCCGTCGTTTAAAATAGTTCGATTCGGCGCCGTCTGCCGTGGCACCTTTACGGCGTGTTTACGTGCCGCGCCGGTAATGCCGGGGCTGGCGCTGAATATTACGCAGTGCGCGGCGGCGACGCGGCGCTGGCGTCGCCGACAGCCGTCGTAAATAAGGCCGACCGACGGCGGGGGAGAGGACGTCGCTCGCGGACGGAATGGCCATTGTAAGGACGAGACGCGACGCTCTCCAGGGAGGCGACAGCGAGGGCGACGCCGACGGCGTCTCCGGCGACGCGACGGCCGTCCTTGCTCGAGCCGGGCGCGCGCGCTACTACCGATGACGTAATCGTCGCGATACTCCGCAATCTTGGCGCCGTGGTAAACTCGTAATATCTATTTTTATCTGGTGGAAGCGGGCCCCCCTCTACGTCGCGCACTCCACGGCCAAGACGATGGCCCGACCGGCGACGCCATGACACACGCCATTGGCGACTCCGCTTTTCGATCGTTTCGTGGTGACGTTTACGTTCTCGGGACGTGCATCGAAGCGTGCCTCACAAATTCGAGCGCTTCCGGCACGAGGAAATTCCCAGTCGATACGGGAAAAATACAAGTCGGGACTGACATTTTGTTTTGGGAACGGTACTCGAGGGAACGCCGAGTAGGGTTAGGTTCGCCTTGGAAAAGGTCGCTCTCCAAAAGGAAATAAACGATCTTATTTTGAACCTCTTCCCACCGATGATAATGCGTCGTTCGATTGGAGTTTGCGGCTTTCGCAACCGCTTTATATAGTCCCGTTCGCGTATTTTGGGACACTGGGAATTCTTGAAGCTAGAAAAAGACGAATCGGGGAAATATTGTAGGAGACGCGACGAATGGCACCATTAAACGAACAGATAAATGGATGCCTGTCCATTATAGATGTGGAGATGCTTGCCGCCATCTTGAATCATCAAGGGACGTTATCGAAAATTTAGCTGTACGGAGTTTATTGAAATTGGAGGTTGTACACTATTGTCGTAGAACTTAGATAATGGAATTTTCTATTCTTGGCGATCCCTTTATGGTTTCATTAAACTAATGTATAAATGAATGCCTATCCATTAAAGACCTATAAACTGTAAATGCGCTACCGCCATCTTGATTTGTCAAGGGACGCTATCGAAAATTTAGCTGTACGGAGTTTTTTGAAAATGGAGGCTGTACACTTTTGTTGTAGGACCTTGATGATGGAATTCTCTATTCTTGGCGATCCCTTTCATGAAAATCTGGTAATCGTACCGTAGGATAAGCCTTGAGATGGGTTTGAGTGACCGCCACGGTCGGTGGGGAATCCACTCGAGGCGTTATCGCGATTAACCCTTTATCGAGTGCGGATAAGAGGCTCATTTATTTCGGATCGGAAGGCCCGGCGGCTTGCGGTCGATCCCCAGCGGCCTTCAAATATCAAGGGTGTGCTACTTGCACGCACGCCAACTCGCAATGTCGACGATATCGCGTTATCATAGCCTCCGTCGGCGACGATCGATTTCGGGCAATGGATCGATCGTATACGGTCGTGGCGCCGGGTTGTCGGCTAAGGCTTTTCCTACTTCCCGATGTCCGGAGTTCGATCCGCCCGCGTTTCTTTATTCACCTTAAGGTATTACATAAAAGCCATATACCAAAACGTCAAAATATTTATAAATCTTCTCCAAACACCGAATCATTTGAAACTTCGGCACATGATTATGAAGGTCCTAAGGAAGAATGTGGTGCTCATGAAATTTCATTAAAAAAAAAAAAAAATGTATTCTTGGTTCTAGTCTGGAGTAAATAAACATATTTTCTTGAAAAAGGAACTTTCACGAGCATCGCGTTCTTCCTTAGAGCCTCCATAATCACGTGTTAAAGTTTCAAATGATTTGGTGTACCTAGTTTGGAGAAAAGTTACAAATATTGGTGCATTTTAAAGTGTATAGAATGACCCTTTCGTAACACCTTAAGGTAATGTGAAACAGACATTCAAGGAGTCTCGCTAATGACACTTTTCTCCAGATTGGACGTACCGAATCGTTTCAAATTTTACAACGTGAATATAGCGGCTATAAGGGATATCCTGACACCCCTAAAATTTCAATTTTTTCGAAATTTGTTTATAAACATTTTTAATACATACATTTAATTTTATAGGTGTCAGGACCTTCCTGATAGCCTTCATATTCATGTTGTAATGTTTTGAAGGACGTACCCGGCTTAGAGGAAAGTTTCTTAAATAAGACCTTTGACGCCACTTTGACATCACCTTAAGGTTCATTGTTGTCAAAATGTTTGTCATGATTCTTTTGTAGCGAGAGTTTAGAAAATAAACACGATCGTATGGTTGCAGGTGAGGCCGGGCAGAAGGAGTGGTGCACCTTGGCGTATTGGGAACTGGGTGGCAGGGTCGGACGACTTTACCCCGTCGAACCGTCGACGGTGAACGTCTTCGACTCTTTACACGACGGCGACGGCCTCTGCTTGGCGACTCTAGCGGAAAACCACACGGCGCCGCCTGCCGTACAAAGGACGCGCAGCAAAATCGGGCTTGGTAAGCAAAGTTAACGACTATCAAAGTGTAGCATATATACTTCGGTATTTTGTCGCGACTACAGAATTTTACTACGAATGCAAAAAGAAGAATAGAGGAAAATACAGCAGTGCTCTAATCTAGAAATTCGTTCCCAGGTCTGATGCTTAGCCAGGAAGCGGACGGCGTGTGGGCGTACAACAGGTCGGAGAGCCCGATCTTCGTGAACTCGCCAACCCTGGACGACCCGGAGTCGCGGACATTATTGGTGTATCGGGTGCCCCCAGGTTTCTGTTTGAACATTTTCGACCGGTCCAAAATCCGCCAGGGTCCATACCATGGCACGGGGTCGTCGGCGACCTCGGGCTTCGCCTCGGGCCCGGTCGACGTCAACTCCGTCCGCATCAGCTTCGCCAAGGGCTGGGGTCCGAAGTACTCCCGGCAGGAGGTGACCTCGTGCCCGTGCTGGCTGGAGGTGCTCCTAGCACCTTGCAGGTGATCTCCGGGTTAGCGGACTCCGGTTTCAGCCTGGACTTCGCGGTTGGACCGCTTCGTCCTGGAGGGTTCCGAGGGAGCTCGAGGGACCTGGTGCGAGTCTCGCGTTATACTCCGGAGGAGATGCGATGCCACTTGACGGGACTTGGGATACTCTGCTCCTAGAAGAGCAGATCCTGGATCCATGTCCTGGAAGCGGCTACGGAGCGTCGTTCGAAGAGGAGCTTCATCGGGGAGACGCGGGTCTTTTACGCGAAAGTTCAATCTAGTCCAGCACCGTTCTCTTTAGCTTAACACGGTGCGTGCAAGGAACCCTCTCGTCTCCGGGAGTCCCTTGAGTGCGACCGGAGAGACCATGATAAGGGAAGGCAGGGTGCAACCATGGGCGTGATAACAGGGTCGGCCAGATTAGGGACTCGGTGGAAACTGGCCTTATGCAGAGGTGAAGTGCTCGCCATCCGAGCACCCTTTGTTGAGCACTCCCTTCGTCCTGGGAGAGGAAAGAAGGGGATTTGTAGGTTAAGATTAGGCCGCGATCGGCGTCCTCCTCGAGCAGGGCTGCGAAAGACCCCATGAGTTTCGTGGAAACACTCTCACTGCTTTTAGTTCTCCTTCTGGGCTCTTTTATTCGTCTCTCTTCGTCTTCTTATTGCCTTAAGTTTCCCGCGGAATGCACACTATTGTTATCACGAAATATGAAATTAATATTAAGGCTGGGGCTATATGAGAGTCAAAAACGACGTACCGTCCGCCGAAATTGTATTATGATCTATTATGATCTACACAAGAATAACGTGCGTCGCCTCTGTGAAAATATAACGTCCGTTGAAACGCACGTTACTTTCGACGCTCGAGTGGCCCTAGCATAAGAATATAATCTACCGTTTGTTATTGTTGGCAGAAAATATTTGTCTCCATTTCTCCGTGTTTCTAACCAAGGATTTCGTTCCTTGTTATTTATTTACTCTTTTAGGCTCTTAAAAAAAAATTATTCTCATAATAAAAATTAGAGTCGTGCGTTGTAACATCGAGTCTCGTTCATTTCGCAGGGAGACTTTCTGCCGAAGAATTCGATAGAAGACCAAATAAGCTTAAAACATCCGGAGCTTTTTAGTGAATGAGGCTGAGAAAAGTATCAAGTTTTTGTCTGGGGAGAAACGTTGGCAACCCTGACTCCGATGCGAGGTGGAACTGTCGAAGACGTGCTCCGAATGGAGGAGCACGTTTCAATTAGAGACCAGCGTGGAGTAACGTCGTGTGTGTTTTTAAGCCCAGAAAGAGTAGATCGTGCTCTCGTTTCGCAGCTAAATATAAATATACAACCACTCGACATTTAATTTATAAGCATGGACGGAGTTATCCCACGTTGCTCTTAAATTTCCGCCAAGGAGCACGCGGTTGGTCCCCATTGCCGTAAAGCTTGCATGTACTCGCCGACTTCCGGGCTGATATTGTTGCAAGCCTCGTGTTGGATTCTCATAAGTCGTTAACTGAGTGGAACGCGTATCCAATTAGCGAGGATTAATTTATTTTAGTAATAATACTGTCAATAGCCATTCGAAAAAAGTTTTACTGCCTTCGGTCCAGCAGACTTTACAAGCCTGTCTGGGTGGTATAGACAATGTTGTAAGACTCGTTCTAAGCAGATACTCAATCGATTCGGAAGAAACACGATCAAGTACACCATTACATTAATGGCGACGGCACGCTCAATCGGTGTAATTGATTTTAACTTAAGGCAGTTGCAATTTAAACATGATGGCGAATTTGTTGCATGCCTCAGTACATGCGGTAGAGTCTCAAACAAGTTCATGGACCTCAGCTGATCGTGTTTTTACTCTAGACATGCCCCTCCAGGATTTTAATTTTCGATAAATAACCCGTTGCTGTTAAGAAACGCCGTACACTTTAACATACACTGATAGATATGTATTGATTTTTCATTTTCTTTGCAGACCGAAACCGTTGTAATGGACGAAGACATTCATGGGGTATGGTCGAATCAAAATTTCAGTAACGTCGGTTAAACTATAGTCACTGCAAATACACTTAACTCGCGTGAATCCAACACGAGGTTTTCAGACCGCGCCGTACCCTGCAATGAGGTAAATTCCATGATGTAAAGAAGACATGATATTCTCCCACGGAGGTCTTTTTGCCTCTTTCTACGCCTTCCGAACCGCCGCCATATTGCAATATGGCCGCGATTCATTTGCAAGTATCAAAACAAATTAATTGTTTTCAAGACTGCTCGCTAAGATCATTACAAAACGGGGGGAACACGAAACGTACTATTTATACAGATATTTATGTCGTCACTTTTAAATTTACTTTCTATCTGGCAGTATATTTTCATTGATCGGGTAGTGGCGACATTTTGGATGTACACTGTGTTCCGCACGCGTCCTTTATTTCTCGTATTAAAGTACTTTTACCTGTAATCTAATAGCCTCTTTTTACACTAATAGTTCATCTGTCAAAAGAGCCACGTGGTAGCATGACTTGTCTACTTTGCATCATGGTAGATATTCCCCAAATATCCTCAACTCGGCAACCGGAACTCGTCGAGGGCGAGGTCTACGAAAAGTGGCGGCTCGTGTCGAAAAATTCCCTAGGGATTCTTGTGACACTGTACCGAATGCATTACGCAGCTGCGTGCGTACCTAGATCGTGCCTTCCCTGCTTCCTTCGCGAGAAAATTCGCGTACCGAGACCCCCCGGAGCTTCGTACTACGGTAATACCGTACTGTGATAAGAGTCCGATACGTCTGTCGGTATCCAGGCCTGCCAACCGTCCGTCGATGGACATGCATCACTCGCCAGAAAAATTGCAACACCACACGAAAAATTGGGGAAATCGTCTAACAAGTATCGTTTAGGATAATGTAAAGAGGTGATGATTCAATTTTGGTGTATACTTAAGAAAATAATGTAACCGCCGAGATATGGCCGCACTCCATTATACTAAACGATACATGTGCCGATATGCACATCTTCGCTTTCTTAGGTGTTGCATCACCTTTTGGTAGCAGTCTCTTTAAGGCGATATGAAAGTGGCATCAAAGAGATCTCGTTTATTAAACTTATCTCCGATCTGGGTGTACCGAATAGTTTTAAACCTTACAATGTTAATATATAAGCTATAAGGAAGGCCCCGACGCCCATGAAATTACAATTTTAAGATAATTAGTTTATAGTGATTTTCAAAATTTTTTTTATAAAAAATGAAATTCACGAGTCTCAGGACCTACCTTAGGGTCTCCTTATTCGTGTGGTGAAATTTGAAACGAATTGGTACACCCGATTCGGAGAATACTTTCGCGAACGAGTGACTCCCCAGATTCCACTTTCACATCGCCTTTATTTATGCCTCGGAACAAGAGATTTCAGGAGTAACTATGCTACGGGTGTGAACAATTGAATAATTAAGGTTATATACGATTTAATTGGATGGTGGTGGGCTTGAATGCTTTTTCTGCGAATATAGTGCTCTCAGGGCTTAATGAGAAGGATTTGATGTTCGCTAGTGTACAGTGTAATCGCATATAACTTCAATTATCCTGGGTTTACAAGAAATAAGGGCTGTAAGACGGTTCTGTGGAAAGGATTCTCTGATTATAATCGATGTGTTCATATGTCGGGCACGTCTTAATTTTTTTTCTGACCGAAGATTGGCAGACCTGGTCGCGACGCGAGCGCACCAACCGGCCGCGCCGTGAAAGTGTAAAAGTAATACAGCATCGTTTGTGTAAATATATACCTCTAATAATGTATCTATATGTATAGATTTTAAGTGCGAACGGACCGTTCGACGATGACGTTACGTACCGCCATACGTACGCGCATTCACACTCAATTGACTGATCGACCCGTAGCCCTGACCATTAGTTATTTTTGTACAACCACTTTTATCGTGTAAAAGTGGACGTTACTTAATTATTATCGAGTAATCGCTACGCGGACCGTAATGACGGGCTGCGCGTGCGAGAGAGAACGAGAGAGGGAGCGAATGTGTGAGAGAAAGAGAGATATGCTGCGAGCCGATGCGTGATGTATACATGTTGCGTTATTGTTACATACATAGCTAGGTATTACATGTTATATCTGCCCGAAGAGAGCCGATTATTTAGGATGTCCGCGAAAATAATTGTAATAACGACTGAGGATGCATCCTGGCCAGACCTCGTCGGAGCAATTCGTCTTTCTTCCTTGGGAACTGCGAAAAAACAATTGGGACGTTGAAAGTACAATTTTTCTTTATCTACGTAGACTAACGGTACTGCAATATGAAGTCATTTTTTAACGCCGTTTACATGTTCTTTTTTTACTCGTTATACAATCTGCGGCTATCACAAGAAATTGTTGCTGGGGATGGAAAAAGTATGTTCACTTACACGACGAGCCGAATTTAAATTCAAACATTAGGTTGGCCTGCCTGAACAACGATTTTGAAGATGATCCCGGATTGAATAACTCTATTTATTTATTGCCGATTTGCCTCCCTAGGCTGTCGCGTTTTTGTCTGCAGGGTAAAAATACTAGTACCGGTATCTAATAATTCTTGTTTTAATTCCTGGAATTCGGGTAAGAGAATTAAATTTCATTCCGACCGTGTCGGGAATATTTAATTTCAAGTTCCCACGGAAATTTCTCGATTTTTTATATATTTTTTAATATCTTTTTGTTTAGCGAGGTCTGTCTCAGGACGAGAAATTTGAAGGGCGGAAAGCCTTGAACTAATTGCTGGGCTTTTTACCCTTGAGAAGTCTGTTAGAGTATGTACATCAATGAGCAACCGGGCGAGCGCTCGTTCGCGTAAGTCTCGTTGAATGAAATGGCGAAATTGTTAAACAAGTGAGCGCTTTTCTACCTCGAAATATCTGAGACTAGAGGGAATCTAACAACAAGGTTTCGGAAGATATCGCGTCGATTTCATGTCAAATTGAAACACACTGCAGAGTCCGCTACCACGACTTGAACGTTCGTTACAGATAATTCAATGTGTAAATTCATAATTCATTAGTTTCCCAACGTTTAAGCCCACAACTGCCTCGATATAAAGAAATGGAACCACTTTTACGAAATGTTATAAAATTGCGTCAGTCTTTCAGTGTTTTTTCTTTTGCAAAAGTTGTTAATTGTAATCCTACATAATCGAGACTTTCTTGAATATAAAGAGGCTCACGCGACGCGGCGACGCTCGCAGGAAAATCAGAGCCGACTTCAAATAATATTTCGTTTACCAATTATTTCTTCAGATGAGTCTGCGCTATTTGAATTGGTCTCGTTGGTACTACATGCTCTGCGGGAAGTACAGCTTAGACACTCACACCGTCACGTGCCTACGCACCCTCGCGCTCGAATGTGCGAAAGTAGCGAAACAAAAGTGAAGCCAAAAATTTTCCCGAATGTGGCGAGAGGGAACGATATATAAGTAACCGGGTTTCGAGGAATAAAAAGGGTAGGAACAATAACGCGAGAAGCGTCTCGAATGTTGCGGGGAGGTGCGGTAAAAATGAACGTTAGTTCCGCCGAAGCTATGGGAAATTTTGTGACGTCATGTAAGAAGACGAGCATTTCGATATCTGCGTGTTTGCCGATTTTCGTTCCACCGGGAATAGACAATTCGACTTGCGGTCGGAATTTCTAATAGTTGGCAATAATGGATTCGTTTGGCAGTGACAACATATTGCGAACACGCCGTTGTCGATGGCTCTAGTTTCTTGGCGATTTGTTTTTCATGCCAGAGAAGAAATTCAGCCGTGCCTATAAACTTCTGTCAATGGAATTAACTAAAGTTGCGAGTTCAAAAATTCGATAGTTTTGACACTGTGCTTAAAAAGAAAATCCTGATACACTGTTTAGCTGACAATATGTCCAGTTGATTTTACCAGAATTCATTCTTTTCATGCGTCTTCATTTGGTAATTGTAATACTTTGAATTGAAAGAGCGAAGGACCCATTCTCCAAATGCATCGACTTACTCTGATTGGTTGTTTTTCGATGACGTCACCGATCCCCCAACGAACCGACCAATCACATGCGTCCGGTTATACGTTTTAGCAAGATGGCGGATGCCGGGCGAACCGTCGAACGTTCTCCGCCTCGAGGCGCATTGTTATTACAATTACTTTTCTGTACACTATAGTCTATTTATAAATTTTCTAATCGACTACTTGTAGATTATATTCTGTATAAAAACAATAAAGCGAAAGGCAAACATGCACATATACGAGATTAAGTTCACAGTACTTGAAGCGTCTCAGCGATGGCGGCATTGAAATTACTTCCAGTGATGCCAATTTCGCTATCTATAAACCCCTCTCAGAGATGAGTCGGGAGATTGCTCACGGGCAGGGCCGCGCGATCACATCCTGTGCTGCCCTCTGGTTTCGTACGTCGGCTTTCATCGTTTTTTGCCCCCCATTTGCGGATAAAATAAATAAGGTAAGTGAAGGGTAAAGTCAAAGAAGGCGCAACGTGTGTTCTTCCCGTACCATCAAAAGCGAGCAGTGTCGGTAAGCATAGGTAAGCCACTACCGTCAACAGCCGCCAGAGATGAGTTGGGAGATTGCTCACGGAAGGGATCGTGCAATCGCATCCTGTGCTGCCCTCTGGTTTCGTACGTTAGCTTTCACCGTTTTTTGCCCCCAAGGGCGGCGCAACGAATTTCTGATATTGAACTCGCGCACTCGCGATAACGGTACCATCTACCAGTGACCGTTGGCGGCTCACGTACTCGTGACGGTAATACCATGC